ATAACGATAAGATGCAGTGTCACGAATCATTGTTTTCGAGCCGGTGGAAATAAAAAAGCTGTTTAGTGCATTAGCGAGGAACATCATTCACATAGACAAGACAGTAGTATTTTTTTTACTGTTGTTTCGATAAAAGCATGTCGCCGAAACATCAACCGAACTTTATATCCATTCTCCTGGTTTTTCCGAAGAATAAGGTTAATGCTACTGTCTTACCTAAGGGAATAAAACAAAACTATCGACGACAGACAACGTCTCTAGCGGTCTTTTCGACCCATAGAGGTGTCTACCGAAAGAAGAGGTGTCATGTGGCGCCGCCTACAAAATGGCCGCCGTCACTGCAGAGGGCGCTCTGACCGGGCTGGACGCAAGTGTCGGTGTCAGTCGAACATCCACAGGCCTCCCCGGTCCAGCCCGGAGCACAGCGGCAGAGGCCACAGACGCACTGGCCCCTGGATGAGCCACCGCAGAGCTGGCCGTCCCGCCGGGAGCAGGAGAAGTTGTCGCACTCGCAGAAGACGCCGCTGTACCGCTGCGAGGCGAGAAGGGCGATCACGGAGGGGGCGGGGGGCTGTGTGATTAAAGTGACGTTAGCAACACGCGCTGGAATCGATACTGGCGGTCACGGGAGCGTCAACATGTAATTATGTCGCCAGTTCGTGAACGCCACAAACACGTAGAATGAAGGGAGGACCGACTGGAGGACTGGAGGAGCATCACGCAACCGAACTTGTGTAATCTGTTCTCGAATTGATGCGTTATTTTCGTGACAGCGGGGGACACTTCCAGCTGGATGGCACGCTAGTTAGTGCACGCCCGGTGTTCGCGATCTCAATGCATCATGCGCGCCCGGAAACGCATGCTACCTCGCTGGGATTCGGGCGGACGTCACAGGCGCAGGCGCCGCACTCGCACGTGCCACGCCCGCTGCAGACAGGTTCGGAAGCGCCCGGCCGACAGCTGTCCTCGGGAGGACAGGAGTCCTCCGGCTGCTGAGCGCCGCCCGAGGAGGTGGCCCATGCCAACGCCGCCAGGAGTAGAAAGTGACGGGCGCGCACCATGGTCGCTGCGGGTCAAGGGAAGCCGCGTCAGCCCCGAGGTCGGTAGCGCGGGATTCCCCGGGAAGAATCGGTCCCGCTCCCGATACTATACTATTCTTTAGACCCGGTAATCTCGATGTTCCAGACCAACCTTAGCAAACTGGATTTCGAGGCGGCGTATCTTGCCTATAATAATTGCAATGGCCGTCCATCAACGTTAAAAGTTTCACGTCGTGAAGTGCTCATCCTAGAAAGCAAACGCAAGGACGCAGATAATCAGCTAGATTTTCTCCATGCTGAACTATCCCAGTGCCTATTTGGAGAGCTAGGACTAGGTAGTACCGTCGAATTCTTGCAGCTGCAGCTCCCACATGGGTTGAAACTGGGGGCTCCATGGTGGGCCAATTGATTAAGAACAGAGCTGTTCTGGTACGGAGTGATTAAAAACAGAGGTATTTTTCAGCTCTGACAAATGTGGTTAAAAAATATTGATATTGTGTGCTATCAGTTGCGTAAAGAAAATGTGATGGCTTTACCAAAAACACAAACATCCATATCATATTTCAGGTGAGCTATGACCAGGCTCAGGATCAGATTCAGCACTGGACCTGAGCAGGAGCAAAAGCCTGTTTGGAGGGCCTAAGTTCCAAATTCGGTGTCAGTCACAAAAATCAGCAAATGCGGCGCAAATCTGTGTTTTAAATCGACTTCGGAGCTGCCATTACCACGTACGTAATCACTTAATTCTTCATTATAATCATTTATTTATTTTCGCTACTTGTTAAAGTTTGCTTTCATATGTTCAAAGTGTAACCTGTGTATCATTAAAAAGATTATGTTGAAATTCCATATCCCATGCACATGCACCTATACATTTGTAGATGAATCGCCTGTGCGATGCGATATCTGCAGTGTGCCACAGCTATTGTTTTAGACAAATATTCAGTTTTTACAAAATACGCTCAATCATTTTTTGATTTTTGGATCCTTTATGGTTCAACCCCAGTTTCAAACCAGCGTTTGGTAAGTCGCTATGTCCTTACAGCATTCACCCAAACGAATTATGGCCATCCATGCCAAACTGAAGATCCCTCAAGGCCGACGTAAGTATCGGGCTATTCCTACAAGTCTCGTTGTCTTGCATTGTTCTCCCTAACATCCTGTCCTGGCGCCGGATTTTCTGTCCCAGACCTCTACCCCCGACCTCTACCTCAGTCTCTACTCCAGACCTCTACCACAGTCTCTACTCCAGGTCTCCCCACAGAATTCTACCCCAGACTTCTCCCTAAACCTCTACCCTGGATCTCTACCCCAGACCTCTACCACAGATCTCTGCCCCAGATCTCCACCCCAATATCTACCCCAGACATCTACTCCAGACCTCTAACCCAGATCTCTTTGTGCTGTTCAGCGGTAGAAGCAAGACCTAATGTTGCGAGAAAAGCAAGCAATCATCTGACGTGAATCGTAAATATATACACCTATGCTCAGCATGCATGCGTATGCTGCTTGCACTCAGTAACTTTGGGACCGTCCGTGAAATTTGGAAAATTTGTGCTGTGCTGTGCCGACACAAGGTGTGGCAAAATACTTTTTGCTCTGCCCAATTATCAAGTTCTGGTCCTTTCTGCTCCGATTTATTTTTTACTTCTTGCATATGGTGAGCGGATTTAGTACAGCAAAGCAAAGCGATCTCATTTTGAGGGCACGTGTTTTCTCGGAGTAGGCGATGCACATGGAATTTAGTAATATCATTCGATAATTTTATGAAAACCATAGACCATCTGGACCAATGATAGCTAAAAACACGAAGCGCATCTATTGTGCATAGAAACACCAGAAAACACAAGATGTAGAAGGGCGACGCCTTCCCCCATGGTGGGGTGAGACGGCCCACCGTTTTCATGATTAGCTTGCCTCGGCGGTTTCATCAGATTCTACGGCATCCGTTTGGCTCTCTTCTGTCCCTCCAACACTTGATGAGCTTGAGTAAAGATTGGAAGTCGAGGAGATATTCAAAGGGCTATCTATAACCGCTGTCAAATCCATTCATGCTTGGCCTGACGCGCACCACTCGGAGCTGGCCAGATGAGAGCGAGACTAAGGTGTTGTATGTCAATAAAACTTTTCAAGTTTGCTGGGACTTAGGCTGAGCTAGGTTAAAGCCATTGCAATGCACATCCGATGCGTAGTCTCCTAGTCATCTGATGCCCAGGGAATATTTTGACTTCCCACGGTCTACGAGGTCGCTATTCCATCACTGAATACCAGCCACCTTGTTTCGTGACGCATCAGACGCTCGAGCGAACTTGATCTCAACTTCAGAAATCTTCATCTCGCTGCCCTTTCCTCGAACAATCTCCCGAAAGGTCACAAGTATCGCACAGACGAAGTGGGTCGCAGATTGTCCAACTTTGAACTAGACCGATCATTACGGAGGTCAACGCTCGACGAACCGACCGGGTCGCCGTCCCTCGGCTCCACTCAGTTCCTTTCCATCCACTATTGCCGTCTCTGCTTTTTCACTGGCAGGAGGTTAGCCGCTATATCGAGGCAGGTTCGGTACACAGAAGCGCTTTAGGTGGGTGCATGTTGCATCCGGCAACGAGTACCTCTGTGTGTCTCGTACCAAACGTGTGTCCTACTACTTCTAATTCAATGCTCTTTTGTGTGAAAGTCCGGACCATACCTCTTTAACAGCACTTTTACCAGGATGCAAAAGCAGAAGCAAAAGTTTGGCCGCCAATCGGCAACGACATCTCGGCAAATGCCGTCAGGTGTGCGTGCTAAATCACGTGCGAAATCATTACACATGTAATCGTTCATGAATTTGTCTAAAAAAACACCACGCAGCCTTACGCCAAGTCATGGAACGACACCTGCCATCTCCCCTCCCTATTCGCAATGACAGTCGGATACACCGCATCTGTAGTACCCAGCAAGTCCATTTCTATTCTTGGATCGCAGCGTCATAACAACGCCTTACTTGCGCGGTGTACGAGTAAAAAGTCAGCAGAGCAGGCGCGAAGGGAGCAAGCAGCACGTGACAAGTACGAGTTAAGCAAGTGACAAATACGGGTGGTTGAGACACACCTCTTTCAGCAAGTACTACTTTGGTCACACCCTTTTATTGTCAAATGGTAGCAGAATGTTGTCCATCGACATATTTCTACAACAAAGGTGAGAAGTGCAACGCAAGTAAGAAAAGCATGACGTTAACATCAACTTCATCAAACTTAACTAACTTCATCAAAGTTAACAGCGGTGAGTGCAAAATGTTTATCTGTGGTCATCCCTTTCCGCATACGCACAAACAGCCAGCCGTAGGTAAGACAGCGGCAGTTAATCCGTCGACCTTCATTTTTCTAAATAATTGCTAATGACGATAATCATCAGTGGTGTTGCGTTAACACGAGGATTCCCTTCGTCACGCTCTACCACACAAGGATTGTAGTTATCGGTTAAGGTCATTCCAGTGGAAACGTAATTGGAACCACACCACACAGGCACTAGCGGTCTGGCCTGGTTTTTCATGTAGCACAAGACGCTCAGTCATGACTGCCCTCTGTACAAGAGAATCTTGCCGGAACCTGAGGTCTTTGACTCTCTGCATTTGCGCACCACTGCGTCTGAGTGATTCGCATCTGCCGCGTGCAGTGCAGAGAACCCGAGTCTCTGCCGTGGAGGAAACCGGAACCTTTCTCGTGAAGATCACGCGACGTCTTCCCCTTTCGACAGCAGCTGTCGGCGACACAGCCTCACCAGCGGTCCTCGGAGTCATCGTCGCCATCGCTGCTATCGGAGTTCAGGGCTTCATCCGCAAACCATCCGGCCTGCCTGCAGCGAGGCGGCAGCCGGTCCCATCGAAACGGCGCCAGGAAGGTATCCGACCAGAGCACCCCTCTTGCCACGTCCTCGAAGGCCGACTCTCCCGCCACGGAGGGTCGCAAGAAGCGGTGTTTGGTGAACATCCACAGCAGGTCCCGTCCGGTCGCCTGACAGCCCAGCCGGCGGTGCAGCAGCGGCCCCTCGCTGTGACACAGCAGGCCCGCGCACAGAAGAAGCATCAGCTGCGTCAAGTCCGAGCGGTGCAACACCCGGCTGTTGAGTTCCCTTTTTCGGTCTTCTTTGCCGGCCCACGCGTTCATCTGGGGCCAGAAATAGCAAGGCAGGTGGCCGTCGCGCAGACCGTCGTCCTGCAGGTAGTCCAGCACGGCCATCATCGAGTCCAGCATGCCCTCCCACGTCCACAGGTGCGGCTCACGTGTCTCGCACACCCACATAAAGGCCGTCTTCAGGTCATAGCTCGACAGGTTGGTTGCCATTTTCGTGCAGTATTTCAGGAGAAGCAGGCAAATTCGCTGCACCCTGGTGAGGGACTGTAATACAATGCACTCGTGCCGCGAGAATGACAGCCGATAGTACTTCGTGTGATCTGACATTTCCGGACTTCTGGCCAACACCAGAAGGGCAGGAGTGGAGCACAGCCGTGCTACAAGTTCGGCACTCGGTTGGCCGGAGGGCCGATGGCGTGTCCTGAACTCCTCGCAACGCCAAGTCGAACACGGCAAACAAGGCACCAAATCAAACTTGCCGTCCTCAGAGGCGACTGGCACGGCTGGCACCGACATGAAATCCTGAAATGCGGTACCTACAAGGGAAATATCTTTCTTCACGAAACCCTGCACGATTCGGGCCACGAGAACCTGCATCTGTTCGTGCCTAAATACTCGCTGGTCGCTGTGATTGCACGACAGGCGGCGGGCGTGCCTCAACAGCAAGCGACCAGGCCATTTGCTCCGTTCTTGAATGACGACCATACCTCTCTGCTGGTTTGACAGCGACTTGTCTACCTCATACCGCGCGCTGATTGGTTGATCGGACTCGGCCGGCACGCGGATTGGCTGACCTGGCTCGGCCTGCACACGGATTGGCTGATCAGGCTCGGCCTGAGGGCGGATTGGCTGATCAGGCCCAGTCTGCAAGCGGATTGGTCCAAACTCGAGCATGAGGTCTACGTCCGACTCATCTCTCCTGAGATGCACTTCCGTTCCCTCCCGTACGCTGCCGGACACGTGAACCTTCTGTACCCGCAAGGTACCCAGTTCTTCGCAGGTACATACACCTGTGTTCATATACTCAGCCAACCTCAGTTCCATCTCTCTATGCCCTTCCTTTCCATTGTCGTTCTGTGTGGCGTCGGACAGAATCTTCCGACCGTGTTGGTCATCAGCACCAGACTCGCCACGCTGTTCGCCGCGCGCGTTGTCTTTACCACCAAACGAGTACAAGCCATCCAATTCCAACCTGTCTATTTCATCCAGCAGCAGCTTCTTGTATTGGAGTGCTCTGTGTACCACTCCCGAGAATGATAACAGCCTCTCTCTCACGCGGAGCACTCTACAAAGTAAAGCGAACGGGTCAGTATCGAGGAGCGGTCCTGTGTGCTCATCTTTCACATAACACCCTTCCTTCTGGGCAATCCCCTGCCCGGAGGTATGACCTGGTTCCTGGGCCATCAGATCGTCCATTGTCTTTCCTATTTGGTGCATCTGAAAAATTTGCAGCAACCGGAGTCTGGCCCGAAATTCGCGCATGTGACCACGCCAGGTCTTTACTTTGTGGATACAGACTCGTATCATCTCAGCGTGAACTGTCTGGACAACCTCTAAGACAGACTGATACGCACGAAGAGCGGCCCGCTCGACGATGGCGTCAAGCATCGCATCCCTGTGGGCCGTCTGCGAGTGTATTCTGTCGACCACGGGAGGTGTCTTCCGACTGACGTGATTCAGCATCTCTTGATACGCCTCTAACAGGGCTGTGTCGATCTCGAAATTCGCCGCCTCCCGGCTATTAAGTACCGCTTGTTCTACTCTCCACTCCAGGTTAGGTTTCAGTGACTCGCGTTTCAACACCAAAAAGAGTTTCACCGCAGCACGGGCGTGTTTGTCCCCGTCTTGGCTTCGCCGTACCTCAACCAGAATTTCCTCGAGCTGCGGTGAAAGCGCAACAGTTTCCGCGCTCGTGCTAAGTGAGAATTGATTTCCTGTGGCTGGCTCTTTCCTGTTCCTGTGGCTTCCTGAGGCGGCAAGCACAATCTCTTCATCCAGAAAGTTCCTGCACAGTCTAGCCATAGCCAATCGTTCGTTGTTGGCGGGTTTCTCCTCCTCTGCACTCCTCGGTCGCCATTGACTGGCCAGTGTCGTAACAGGCATCTCAGTAGCAGCACGTGCCGCCGCACTGACGTCGCTCGGCGATGATTGGTTTGCACGCTCCCTGGTGGCAGGGGTCTCGACAGTAGAAGCCATTTCCATCTTGAGTTCACTAGGTTGTAGATGTGCAGCCTGTAAGGCGGTGTATCCCTCGGCCCCGGCGGCTTTTTCATGTGGAAGTTGAGGAAACTGTGCCTCGATGGATTTTGTTCTGGCTTCTTTCGTGTAGTCCATGTCGCATAACGCCTTCAGACAGTCGGGTTTGTTCGCATTATTACATAAAAACCGCTCCCTTTCCTTAAGAACCTCAGCTACTTTTGACTCCGCACTTATGAACATCTCAGTGCACAACCTTACAACCCTATCAGTAAGATTCGCCGACATTTCTTAGCAGCTCGGCGATGTTGTCTGCGTCCTGGCGCTCTCTGCACTCCGCTGAATTTGGACAGCTTCGTTCTCTGATGACCGATCCGGCGTTGGCCGGCCTTTGGTTTGCTTATATGCTGCAGCTCGGAGACCTCTTCTCCGTTATTCTTTCCTGGCTTTGGCACTGCAGAGGATACGATTCCCCATCAACCGCCTCCAGCAACCAAGCGTCCCGTCGCTCGCTCTAAATATAACGCCCCAGGAGCTTGCCCCATGACGTCTGACCAGTCATGGCTGCGTGCGCTCTCCACGGTTCATTTGGAGGCTGGTGGCACTGACTACTGTTTAACGCGGTCTTTCGACCGCTCTGCTCGCGCTTTACAGACGCAATCGGACAGTGAAGCTCCCACGGGTGCTTGGCGGTGCTTTCCAATATTCATCACGTCAGACTGAGGATAACGTCCCGTCCCGCGCTGTAGAGGGTGTTGTTGACTGCACACCGACGGCTGCAGCGTACCGGGGCGCCGTCCACCATTCACTGCCACTCAGACTCACTGTCTCCCGCCGGCACGGTCATCCAACGGCGCACGGCGTCTGCAACTGCGACGTCCCCCGGCCTTCGACAGAGGGTGACGTCGTCCGACTCGATTTGCATGGAGCCGCTCGCGCTCTCCGCCGCAAGGTCACACTCGGCCGCAGCCAGCGTCCGGCGCGCGGTCTCCGAGCTGGCGCTGACGCGGGCGCGACCGGCGCTAAGCGTCTCCGCGGGGGACGGGCTCGCCGCGGTCGGGACTTCCCCGCGACAGCCGTGGGTCAGCGTCATCAGAGGTGGGTCAACGTCGGCAGAGGTGGTCACTGTCATCTTTGGCGGGTCGTCGTCGTCGGCGGTGGGTCATTGTTACCAGCGGTGCGTTTCCATCATCAGTGGTCGGTCGTCATCATCAGCTGTGGTCCCCATCACGAGCTGTGGATCGCCGTTTTCAGCCTTGGGATGTCGTTGGAGACCAAAGAACAGATTGGTGGCTGCTACAAACTCACTCACACCACTCAGTGCGGTAGTTTTGGTGACCAATCCTGCTTTGAGTGGACGCCGACAGGTGCATCAAGAGATGATGAAAATTGTATCCCGTAAGGATGCAGAGCCCTACGCACACAGCTGACGCAATGTTAACCCGTTGCATCACGCACCTCGATGACGTACCCCCTTCCCAGCCTCACCGCCACCGTAGAAACCACAAACAGATGTGTGTCGGGTTACCGAACGCTGATTAGGCACTGCTTATTGCTCTGAGAAAATTCTCTCGACACACTGATGGTGATGACACACTGCCTTTCCCTGCCGGTACCTGGCCGCGACGCTTGGCCAATCGCTGAGCTCGTGGGACAGCGTGCCGGTCACATCTCGAATTAAAGGGAATGTTCCACACTTAAAGGTGTTGAAGCGAACATCGGATATGACAAGATAAACTCTCTTATAGCTATTGGTGTATTTTTTGTGGAAAGGGCTGCTCTGGACGACAAAATTTATAAAGTGAAGAGACCGTGTCCAAATTCTTATATTGTGTAGCACAAATCGTGCTTCGTAATTAATGACTGCATAGCTTGTTCAACACTTGTTGATGACTAATGGAACCGACACTTAAATTGACGCTCACTTTCATTGAAAATCGCGCTCACAGACGCCAGGTTTGAACAGCTTGACGATATCTTTTTTCCTGGCCTTGAACGCCGCCTGGCCTGTGGGGCGGCAGGATTTTAGTGGTGTTGCCACAGCGCCATGCATGCCCGAATGGCCTCGGATTGGTTCGCGCGAAATAGTCAGCACATCATTGTGAGCGTATAGCTCAGATACTAAAGAGTTTTGAGGTCTTAGGAAGGGCAGGGCTGTGATCATCACTGCCCACTACACCAAATGATCGTCAAAATGACTATTTGAGCTCAAGCCCCCCCCCCCCCCACACAAATGTGGAACGCCCCCTTCAAAACACAGTGGCGCTACCCGCGACAGGCTGCGGTGCCCGAACGGCAGCAAAGCGGACCATGTCCACAGCGAAAACTGACAGTGCGTCTCAATGAGACGTGTGAGACGCCATCTCATAAACAAGGGCGGATGTAGGAGGGAGAGTTGAGGGGGACACTGAGCCTCCCGTAGGCGGCCTTCAAGACCAATTTTGCGCCTTTAGATATTTCCTTGGGTCTCAGTCAATCGGCATCCAATCTCGAACTGGCCCCCGAACAGACTATTGCCCCTCCATGACCCCGTGCTTGATTTGCCCCTACCGATCCGAGCGTCCGCCCTGACCTGGTACTCACTCAAAAGCAGCCTCGCTGACGGTGCGTCAGGTTCGCCGCACACCGGAACAATCAGCAGCGGCTGGCCGTGCGCCACAGACGCCGCAGCCAAGGTCACATCCCGCGTGTTTATTTCCGTGAGGAGAAACTGGCGGCATCGGAGGTAGAGCTGCAGATTACGCTCGAGATGAGACCGGCGCCGGCCGGGAATTGCCGTTTTGAGAGACATCGAAGTGGCTGGAGACCGGACCACCTTGGGCGGTTGTGGTGCTTTGCAGGCGCCTCGTGCACTTCGACGCTGCTGTCAATTTCACGTCGTTATCTGATGAGGCCGCCAGGATTGGAAGACCGTCCCGAAAACGCTCTCACACAGCCCGACCAAGAGTTCGTGCAAGAGAGCAAGCGCGCCACCACGCATTTCCGTTGGCGCTTTTGCCTGCACGACTACGCGATATTTTCCCATCGAAATGCGTGAATGCCGGCATGCGGCCTTTTTCAACGAGCTGTGAACTGCGCTACGCATTTCCCAGGTTAAATGAGCTGGACACGTGTGCATGCTCGGAAGACCCCCTTGGTCGAATCCGGTCCCAAATTTGCCGCGACGATCGGAGCCCGCTGGTCTAGCCGCACGTCACATTCCGTTTGACCACCTGGCTCCAGTGTCGACCTGCGACGACATTTGTGGATGGCGGACCCACAAATGGACGGACGGTAAAAAATCATGATATTGCAGTAGATTTTGCAATTTGCGCGAAGCGAGATTTGTGTAAATATATTGCATGATTTGAGAGTAATTCATCGCCCACACATTTAATCGTCTAGTGATTTCATCATGTGAGAAGCGTTTGCCTTGTAGACGTTGGGTGCCTTACTGGTTCTCATTTCGCTTGGAGCTCAATAAGCCTAATTTCATTTTCAAGCGTTTTGCCTGAAATTTGGGAAGGTGAGGAGTCCGAGAGCCGACTTGGAAGAATGGGGCACGAATGGTTGACAATTTTGACAGCGTTTTTAATGACAGCGACTGCGAGGCTCATTCCGCACGATGTCTTTACGTTCTCTCTATTTCACGTGCCTGGGTTTTAAATGTCATTTTTTGGCTTAACCTTGCTCACCCATCATCTTGAGCACAGTTTGAAACATCGGAGTCTTTTTCAGTGCAACGATTACCTGCTTAATGACGTCATTCAATAAACACCTACTGGTATGGTGAAAGTCGATGACTGTTGGTACGGGAGCTCCCAACACCTACCACAGAACACAAGGACCTTAAGGTCTTCTTTATTCGTATGAAGAAGCCTAAACCCACTGGAACACAATCAGGCATATGTTGATAGACGCATGTGACAACGTCCTCGTCGGCTCGACGTGTTATTGTGTACGTCATTCCGTGACCGGCGCCTGAGGGCGACACGACGAGCCTGAAACAGCAATGCGAAGTAGTGGGAGGGCATGCAGCAACAGCCGCGCGAGACAAGTATAAACAGTATCTCCTTGTATTGGCGTCCGAAAAAGCGACTTCGCAGAGTCGGTACATACAATATATTTACACACCAGAAGCGCCGTTTTGTCTCATTTAGACATTCCACTTTGGATTGAGTATCATGCTGACGAAGCTTTCAGTCAATCAGCGTACAGCCGAACTTAGCCGAAATGCCATTTAAGTCGTAACAACTCGACAATAGACATGCACTCTGTGTATTGCACTCTCACGCGTCACCCTCCTCTTCATTGATATGTTCTTAAAAAGGAAGCGAAGGATAGGGCCAAAAACATGGCAGACCCGCGGCAGAAAATAACGCACAAGGTGGTGCAACAGAAAACGGAAAAGTAGTCAGAAGAGACACCTTCCAGACCAGGTAATATATTTTCTTTTTTAGTAACTTTTGAACCACTAAACGCATCATGCTCAAAGTTTCGGTAGATGAGTTGTTTGCATTTTACTTCGCGAATCTCAAGACAACGTCTCCCAAAGATCACAAGCAACGAAGTTGTGGTGAAATCGACGTTAAGTTTGACTTGTTCAGTCTTGTCATCCTACAGAGTAATTTCATTTTGACATGTGACAAGTCCAGGCCATCTCGGGTTGAGTTAAATAGCATGTACCAACCGAGGGATATGTGTGGTAATAACTCGATTTATTGTGGTCCAGGTTTCGAATATCTTAGTTTACAATTAATTTTGACCGGTAGTTAATCTTACTGCACAAGTAGGCTTAAGCGTCGTTTGATATGACGTCATAACATATTGATTTCTTAAGATAGCAGTGTGAAACATTTTCATACATGGCTAGACGCGTATGATGTGATTTCACTTGTCGCGTTCGTCAGTGGCATATTTACACCCACTGACATGCTCGTTTCGGTGTATGACTCAGTGTGCCAAAGTATATACAATACTGGTGTCAACGCTGTGACATATGCAACACAATTCTGAAGAAAGAGACCCAGTTCATCGATTTACATCGATGGCGCGACTTTACCCACCGAAGATCAAGCGCATACACGTTCATCAACACCACACCCTCCACAGGTCAGCCAAATCATCCAACCTCACCGTCCGCCCAGCCGTCACGCCCGTCCCAGTGTCACCCACATTCAGAGGTCCCCCTCCGGCACCCACCCACCGATACCGGTGCACCAAGCTCTTCCGTTTACGGCCGACGACGCCGTCCTTGCGCTCATAGCGCGCAGAGCGGATCGTCAAAATACGACCGGCTGAGGCCGAGCGAGCTTGTCAGGGTGCGGTCCACCCAGCAGAAGAAGTCGACGTCCACCAGGCGTGCGTACACGTCGGGCCAGCCGAGCACGCCCGCGCATGCGGCGTTCCAGGAGAACAGACCCAGCAGCAGGCTGCGGCCGGGGTCTTTAGGGTCTTGACAGACCAGCGGGGCGCCAGCCTCCGTCTGTGGTGGGGATGGCGGGGAGGGGGTCAGGGTGCTTGTGGGAGGCCGTGATCGTCTCACAGTTGTCTTACTGTGAGATGCTGTCTTACCATGGTGTTGTTTTACTGTGGCGCAAATGCGTGGGGACGTTGAAGCCTGAGGAGGTGCATTGTTTTCAAGTAAGTTTTTGTTTGACGCTGCCGTAGTTATTAATCATTCTTCATTTTCACAACAGGTGGAGGACCATGATCCACTACATTCCTTGTTTGCGCTTTATCATGGGCACAACGACCTCTGGCGTCGGAAAAAGTCCAGAACTCAGAAGCAGCCCATCAGTATCTAGTTCGAGAAAGTTTAACCTTCTTTCTGCGTTCACGATATATGTCATCAAAACAAAAAATGGACCCCTGTGGCCGTAGCACATTTTTTCCGCACCATGTAGCTCGAGAAGACGCTTATATTCCCTGCTTAACTGAATGACAACCCGTTAAGTCTATAGGTACTGAGCGTACCAAATGAACATTTCGAAAGCATCTTGCAGCCTATCATGAAATGCCCTCCCGGGCAATCACAAAAGTCGCGGCTCCATTCCAACAAACGATGAAATTGGAAACAAACGCATCACTTTTAGCTGAACTTAAAAAGCTGACTGTTATGGTCAGTGGTAGGCGCTGCTCACCATGGATGATAAGCAGCTAAGTGACATAAGCGCCTCGTCTGTTGCTCACCCGACATGCCGAACTCTTCCCAACGCCTGCGCTGGCGCAGAGGAAGGAGTAAGTGCAGCGCGAAGTGGTTTCCCAACTTCCCTGTGGCCTGAAGTTCGGCTTCACATTTCATCCGATCCACCAAATCCAGACTGCGCATGCGCAGTTCTACGCCACCGGATTCGTCTGGAAATAATTTAGGAGAGTGAATAAACTAACTAGGTGACTAATTAACAAACCAAACTAACTAAATATATTAACTTGACTAAAATAACTGAACCAACTCATTATCTAAGTAAGTAGCTAGCTAACTAGCTGGATAACTGGATGACTAATTAAGCGCACCTCGCATGATTCAGTTCACGTGACACTTGGTCGAAAAAATCAGAACTGTGTGATTTCACGTGTCATGCAAACCCGTGTTTTAGGGTTCCTCGACGTTGGAAACCTAGGTCTTTTCCGAATCCAGACGCGACTTCTTTTCCTCCGCGTAACAAATATTGAAAGCAGTAAAATGCTGGTAATAAAATTATTAACTAATGGTTAAGTACTCAGGGATCATATCTGATCCTTGACTGACCAGTGAGAGTTGGAGGTTATGGGTACAAAGTTCTACAAATGCACGATCATCCATGGCAATACCGTCGTCTTAAAACAGTCTATGAATTCAACGGTAATGCAGAGTTTTTTTTAAAAATTTGGCCAAGGCAAATTTAAAAAAGGATAACAATTGAAAGATAGATCTAAGTAGGAAGACCGGATAATGACATTTAAACACAAAGACGATGCAAAAAGGGATTCACGCTGTTCTGACCTAAATTATCTCATACGGACTTCCGAAAGATCCATAGCAACTCCCCGGATCTGACGCCAGCTCTGCCCATCTCCACTCCTGCCTCGGCAAACCCAACCCAGTACCCAACCCGTGTTCCCAGTCCGCCCCAGCAGCGTTCGAAGCGTCACCCTGCGACCGTACTGCGTTGGACAGCCACCGTCTGGCAGCCAGTGAAGAGGGACGGCGAGGGGGCGGTCGGGTCCAGCATCGCCGGCCCCAAGCAGGCAGGCTGCGCAGCCTCCCCCAGAGCCGCCGCGCGCTCCAGCACCAGCAGCGCCGCATCGTAGTAGAGCGTGCGATCGCCCCAGTCCGGGTGCTGCTCGACTTTGATCACGCTCAGTGTCTGGCCGGAGCCAGAGCCGGCGCCAGAATGCTGCCCGATTCGGACGCGCAGCGAACCGACGTCGGCGCTGGAATTACGGGATCGGGGTTAGTGGACCTTGCAGCGCTCACTCCAGCCTAGGTACACGGTGGGCGGCGAAACAGAAACGGTTAAATCCACACGTTAGCGAGTGCAGTAAGGAGAATGATAGTCGGGTAAGGTCACGAACACAACATTTTACAATATTTGTCTTTACAATGGTGTATGCTGTTGACCTCGTAATTCAAATAACGTAAAGATTAGGTCGTAAATATCGTTCGGATTTTCATTGGATGTCATGCG